GCGGAGGGGTGGGGGGGGGCCCAAGGGGGTGGGAGAGGGTCCGGCCCATGCTGCGCCTGGGCTGGGACTGGTCCCGCTGGCGCAGGGTAGCAGGAAGCTCTCCACACACTCACCGGACCTGGGCTAGGACTGGGTCTGGAGACAGATGACTTTAGAAGAGAGCGAGGCATTCCAGGCCATCAGGAGCCTGGACCCAGCCTGCTTCTGCCTCCAGTTAGCCCCCTGCTGCAGGTCCAGGAACACCGTCCACATTGTTCACAGAGACCACAAACAAGACTGGACGCCATGGTCCAAATGAAGCAGAAACTCTGCCTTGAGTCCTGGGCATTGGCACTTAGCCCTGACGCGCTGTCTGAACTTGTCCAGTTGGTTCATTTGGGAGTTGTATCATCTTTTGGGATGTTGTCCTTTCAGCTCCAATGCCAGGTCTTGAGAGTGGAGATGACTGGTTTTGGGGTGAAGATATGTATCTCCCCAACATTTCACTGGCCCAGAAGTCCTGTCTTTCTCTGGCGACTGTGCCTATCTCAGCCACCTAGATGATTATAGCCCAGAGGAGTTATCACATACATGCCATGTGAAGCGTACAGTGATCCAGAGGACTTAAAAGCCTGTATCTCTAGTAACTCAAGGAAGGCAGGCCTGGCTTTTACTGCACTTGTTTTACCATGTAACCATGTCCCTGCCTCTGTGCTTGCGCCCCCCGGGTGTTTCCACTGACCCATGAGGAAGGGTTAGTCAGACCCACGGGAAATGATGAGGTTGTGAATGTCTATCCCATGATGGTGAAACCTCTAGATCTTTCAGTGGTAGCAAACAGCCCGCTGTGGCATGCCATAGGTTCACCACCACTGGTCTACACAACAAAGGTGCCTCACCTTTGCCATTCAGGGTGGAGTACAGGCCCAGCATGGAGCTGGTGCTCTGTGTTTGGGAATAAATGAGGGAGGCCAAGAGAGACAGGAAACAGCTTCGAGTCCACATGAAGCCCTGCACCTGAGACTTAGGGGTCAGTTTTAGGTCTTGGGAGCAACTGGAGGCCAGTCTGCTACAGCACTTGTAGTAGAAATAGGGTTATGTAGGCTCTCCCACACTCAATAAATGGGACCATGATAGGTAGAGGTAGTAAAACTTTCAGGTGTCTGTTGTCCATGTAACCAGCGGCTGGCTTGGGGAACCGGAGTGCTAACTGGAAACTCCAGGAATCTCTTGCAGACAGTTTGACCTGCCTCCTGCCTGAAGAAATCAGGCTCCAGCCACTTCCTGGAGAGTATGAAACCCCACCTCCAGCCCTGAGTCCTGGTTGCTCCACCTTCCCCACCCTAGTGCTACCTGTCAGACCTGAGTGGCAGTGAGTGTAGTCAGAGAGCTAGTGACCCTGAAGAGTAGAAGGGCTCTCTGTGAGGAACCACACTGCCAGCCATGCTCCGGGACCTCTGGGCAAAGTGGCTGGCAGGTAAAGGGATGCCCCTCCTAGGGGCAGTAATGCTGCAGAGGAGAGAGAAGAGGGGATCTCAGTGGAGGCACTGGCAGGTAAGGGACTAATGTCACCTGGGAGACATGACCTGGACAGTCCTGGGAGCTGTGTGCCCTTTGAGGATGGAGACACCCCCCACATAGGCTCTTGATTTGGAGTGGAACCTGTTTGCTCTGGATAACCTGGCAGAGCTTAAGTTAGAGATGTTGGCCAGTAGCTTGGCTCATAAAAAGAATGGCTCCCACCCCAGGAGGAAATGGAGAACAAGTCATGTGACACTCACCCTCCTGTTCTAGCCTGACTGTAGAATCCTCTGTGGGGAGAAGGAATAGGAGCTCACAGGGATGGTAAGGGGCATCTCACTCCTAGGAGGCTGAGCTCTGCTGTTATCTCTCCAGAGTCCAGACTGCAGTCTCCTTAATAACTCGTCAGACCAGTAGGAGCTCCCAGCTGCCTTTCCCCTGCCTGCTGCCCCCTGTGTACCTTCTAGTCTCAGTCAGGGAGCTGACTGGGTGTGGTGGATCACAGCTTTAAACACATCACTCCAGCTCTCTGAAGGACCACCCTAGCCTGAGGGGAGCTGATATTCATAGTCATAATAGCCATGATTATTTCAGCTAGCTCAGGGTGGAGCTTCAGTGAGCCTTGTCATGACAGATTCTAAGGTCCGGCTCTCAGCAATCCTGAATCCCTAGTGGCTGGGTCATGCAAAGGCATCCCAGGCACAGAACTAGCATGGTGACATCAGTGACCTTGGGCTAGGCTGCTGCTTCGTGATGGAACAGAGGAAAGTCAGAGCTGGGAACTCCTGGAGAAGGAGCAGCCTCACCCTCAACTTCCTAGTACTGAGTGCCTGGTGTTCTGTTATTTCGGCAGGAAGCCCACCCGTACTATGACCTCCAGGTGAAGGTGTTGAGGGCTAGAAACATCCAGGGCACAGACCTACGTGAGTGACCCTCTTTTCCTGTTCTCCCCTCATTTCCCTGAGGCCTCCCTAGAACTCTACTGAAGATGTGTGTACACACATTTGGAGTGAATGGAGAGCTGGTGCTGACCTCAGGAGAGGCATATTGTGCAGACCCTGGCCACCTCCCTGAACCTCGGAGGCGAGCCTGTCATATGTAAGGCCAGCAGTCATACGCCAATGCCTGCTTTCCAGGCTCATGCTCCCATGGAGGCAAGGGTTTTATTGCCAAAGACAGTTTCAGGTATTTCTGCTGCCGTGTGATTACTGGCCACTTCACGATTTCTACTCAGCTTCCTGAGAGGTGCAAATGGTCAAGGACACCAAGCCCCACCCCCACCCCACCATGTTGCTTGGGCAATCTCCTTTCCTTACTGTGCTGCCCTATCCTCCTCCAGGAAAGCTTTTCAGCACTTAGGCTTGTGACTGATCCACCCCCACCCTTACCATATTGATCCCCACAGTGTCCAAAGCTGACTGTTATGTGCAGCTGTCACTGCCCACAGCATCTCCCAGCCCCACCCGGACCAGGATGGTGGCTAACTGCAGTGACCCTGAGTGGAATGAGACCTTCTCCTACCAGGTCCATGGTGCTGTGAAGGTGAGAGTCATCAAGGGACCTGGCCATGAGGGAGTGGGAGCCCCTGCACAGTGCCAACCTCTTCCACTCTGCTCCTAGAATGTCCTGGAGCTCACTCTCTATGACAAGGATGTCTTGAGTAGCGACCAGCTCTCTCAACTCCTGTTTGACCTGAAGAGTCTTAAGCCTGGACAGCCCCATAGACACACCTTCTCACTCAACCAACAGGTGAGCCTGTCTCTACTGGCACGAGCCAAGCTAGTAGAAAGGCTGGCCCAGGGCCACCAACAGGGCTGGGATGCATTAGCACAGAATAGTCTTCCACAACTGACACTCTTCTGTCCTGAAGCACTGACCCTGTAACACTTTCCCTTGAAGTAAACTGTGGACCCATGGAGAGTACAGGGTTCTGTCTGCCTCAGTCCTTCTGAATCCTGCATCTAGGATAGTGCCTGGCACACGTTTCTAAATATACGAAGCTCTGCACAAATTGCCCCTGTGCTCTGTGCCCATGTGAAGCCCCAACATCTCCTTTTCTAATCCTTGGAGTCTAGGAGGAGTTGGGGCAGGGAGGGACAGTCCCAGGGCTTTAGGAACCTTTGAAAACCTGGTGCTCTCTACCCCTCCCCCATGCAGGACTCACAAGAGCTACAAGTAGAGTTTATTCTGGAGGAGAGGTGAGTCCAGGCAGGCCAGTGCATTCCCACATGCTCTTGTGTCCCAGCCGCTCTCAGCCTCAGAGGGTGTGTGGTCTGTCCAACCATTTGCATGTTGACCCACAGCTCCCACCCCAGTCCTGCCGTACTCCCAGGCTCTTCCAATGGCTTTGGTCACATTATTGCAACCATGGCAAAGGTGTCCAAAGGCCCACGAGCCCCTCCCTCTTTGCAGCCAGGTGCCTGCAACTGAGGTCATCACCAATGGAGTCCTGGTGGTAAGTGGGGAAGATGCACTGGGGTGGTCTGAGGTCAGGGTCCGAAGGAGACCTGACTGAGTCCATGATGTCACCTTGTCTCTGAAGGACACGGCCCTGCTCAGAAGGGCAATATCCTATGGAGATCAGAGCCATAAGCTGCCTCAACACTGGCTATGCAACCCTGGCCCCAAGCTTCTGCCTTGTGCGCAGGACTTTATTTCCTCTGGACCAGGGCTGCCCCCTATAGAGTCTCACAGTCCCTTTCCCACCAGGGTCTGCTTCCTGCAAGGCCTGGAAGGGTCAGGGTCTGCCCTTGCTCTGACCACAAAGGCCAGGCTTGGAATGGGTGCTTCTGCTCTTCCCTCTATCCTGGTCTGGACCCTGCAGAGGGCTTATGGGCTGGACGACTCCCAAAGCTTCTGCTTTCCTCAGGCTCAACCTTGTCTGACAGTCCACGGCACTCTCGAGGGCAACAGGACCGTCCCGCAGCGAGAGTATGGTGAGCTGATCACGCCCTTGGTCTTGCCTCCTTCCTGGGCTTGTGCCATGACGGGGTGTTGGGAGCTGTGATGTTGAGGAGGTGACAGTGGGGTGGAAGTGCTTAACTCTGTCACTGCTTAAAGCTGACCAAAGATGGATGGATTACTTCTGGAAGTTGGGAACTTCCTGTTCCTGAAAATATATAGGTTCAGACATTGTCCACTGCCTAGCTGTAGCTCCAAAGCAAATACCCACAAACCTTGTGGCATACAGGAAGAAGCATGTATTTAGCTCACATGTCTGGCAGTCAGCTGGGATTTGGCTGATTAAGACTGGGCTTGGCAGGTGAGCCTGGCTCTGCTCCATGCGTCCCACCCTCCCAACTGGCAGCAGACTGACCTGGGAGTGTTAAAGCCTCTGTGGGGGTGCAAGAGAGCAAACCCCATTAAGCAAGTGCTGGTCCAGCCTTTGGTCATGTCCTAGCCACTAATATGTTATTGGCCCAAGGAAGTCACCTGGTTGAACTCCAAGTTGGAGGGTACAGAGTAAGTCAGCCATTTTAGTGGGGCAGCCAAGGTCACACAGCAAAGCACACAAGATCCTGAGTGACATACTGGAGCTATCGGTGCAGCCTTTCACCAAGGTAACTGCTCAGGAGGAGGGACCCGGATGTGGGAGTGAAGCCGAGGCCATGTGACCCAAGGTCCCTTCCTATGTAGAGAGCCCGAGCCTGTGGGGTGAGCATAAATACTCTGCATCTGTTTGATCATGTAACCCTCTAGTGGGCCCTTAGGGTAGATGCAGTCACTAATCTTTTGCTTCATAGGTCAAGGCTCCAAGGAGAAGCTAAGTGAGGAGCCAGGACCAAAGCCATGTGTGACACATTGCGAGGCTGCCCTCTTTCCCAATGTATTGCTTCCCTCCGGTGCACAGCCTGTCTCCATCTCAGTCCATACCCCTTGGTGCAGATGAAGCGCCACATGCTTGACTTTCTCCACTCCCCAACCCAGGCTTCTATCAAGTCTCTAGTCTCATCTATTCAAGGAAGGGCTGTAGGAAGTGAGACTCCATTGAGATCTCCCTCTGAGGAGTCTGCCACCCATGGGTGCTTCGCATCATCTGTTCCTGTGCTGTGTGTGGAGCCTGAGACTCTTCTGTGAGGCTATGAATCCTCTGCCTGGATTCCATGTGTAGCCCTATCTCTCTGGGGCCTGTCCTGTCCCCAGAAGCTTCTAGGAAGCAGCGCAGGGTGTCCTCTATTCCGTGCTTACCCCAGCAGGCATATCATCTAGCTTGGGCTGGCCCTCCCCTTCTTGTCTAAGATGGAATTCTCTCTGCACCCTTAGATCCCATTCTGCCCTTGATGTTCTCTGCTGACTCCCTACATTCTCTTGAGGTTGTCCCTTAGAAAACATTTCTGTTTTCTTTCTGACCTTAAACCACCCCCAGGAAATGAACACAGAATTTGAACAGAGATGACAGTTGAAAACTAATAACTAATATAATGAATAGATGATTAATTACACATAATTCTATATTATACATTGATAAAATAATTTCAAAGTCACCAGCCCCATAAGCTATAGGGATATCCCGCTATTGCCCCTCTCCCTGCCTTTCCTCTTCCTAGGTATTTGTGTATTTCCTATCCTCTCCTCATTGGGGAGAACCCTTCCCAGTGTTTCCCATGTTCTGAGTGCTGAGAGTGAACCAGGAGACGAGAACTGTTGGTTGCAGTGGCAGAGAAGGCAGGAGCGTGTTGCTGTGTGGGGTGCTGCTCTCCTGAGCCTGCATTGACCCCGCTTTCCCTCCTCACCTGGGCTCTTGGCCCTCAGGCTCCAGGCAGGTCCAGTTGGCAGTACCTGGGGCCTTTGAGAAGCCACAACTCCTACCCCTGCAGCATCTTGAGGAGCCAGGCCAGCTGCCCACCTTCACCTTCCATGTGAACCCTGTGCTGAGCTCCAGGCTAGACGTGGAGCTGAAGGAGAAGCTCAGGGTTCTACAGGTGAGCACCATGGCCAAGGGTGGTATGGTGGAGCCCCAGAGCTCCCTGAAGGCACATTTCTTCCACTCTGGGCTACTCCTTGGGGGTCTTCTCTGCAGAGTGGCCCAAGTGCTGAGCTGGAGGATCAGACCAGCAAGCTGGGTGAGGGCGGCATCCTGCTCTCCTCTCTGTCCCTAGACCAGGAGGAACAGCACGTTGTGGTCCTGGGGGAGGTAAGGCTCTGTCTGTGGGCCAGGGACTCCCACCTGGTGTGTGACCACCAAGAGTGGTATGGGGTGGGCAAGATCAGGCTACCAGGGGCTCAGCCATCACACCAGAGGTGCAGAGCAGTGGGGGCCATGGGTAGGAGGCAGTTTCCCTGGAAGGATCTGGCTTTGCATGCTCATGAGGCTGCTTTCTTTCAGGGACAGGAGGTGTCTCTCAGTATGAAAGCAGAAATGAGGTGAGGTGGGCTTCTAGTGGAAGGCTTCTGGGGCTAGGCTGGAAGGGTGCTCTGCTCCCCAAGGCCTCTTGCTTTCACTATGGAGGTCCCCTCCTCTCTCCCTTTTTGTGGGGGGTCCATAGAGTAGGATCTGCACCTGTGAAAATTGGCTGGGCTGAACACCTAGTCACCTAGTCCCTCACCCTGTCGCTCTGAGATAGCTCTGGGGACCTGGACCTGCGCCTTGGCTTTGACCTTTGTGATGGTGAGCAGGAGTTCCTGGACAAGAGGAAGGCAGTGGTGGCTAAGGCCCTGCAGAAGGTGCTGGGATTGAGCGAGGCTCCTCACTGTGGCCAGGTATGGGATGGAGGAGGAGATGGGCCTTGAGGTTGCTGGGATCAAACCCAGCCTGTCCACTTGTGTGGACTGAGGGGACTTGTGCAACAAGAGCTGATAAGAAGTAGGAAGGGGAGCAAAAGAGGAAGGGAACAGATCTGTTTGAGTGGAAGACATAAGAGTCAGGATGCTGTATGGAATGAAGGCTCCATAGCCCTGGCCAAGAGGCAGGTATCTTAGCCTGAGCCACCACGACACAACACCACAGACTAGATGTCAGCAGAAAGCATTTATTTTCTCCCCAGTCTGGAGGCTACAAGCCCAAGGTCGCGGTGCCATGGAGTTTCTGCTGAAGCCTCTCTTCCTGGCTTATGCATGTCCCTTTCTCACTGCAATCTCATTTGGCTTTTCCTCATGTCTGCAGGTGTGAGGAAGGGAAAGTTCTCTGGTGTTCTTTTCTTATAAGGACACTGGTTTTACAGATTGTCACCCTACTAAAGTATGAACCTGGTTTTGTTTTTGGTTTTGTTTTTCAGTACCAGAGACTGAACTCAGGACCTTGCTTGCCCAGTGGGCACTTTATGTCACTGAGCTATCTCAGCAGCCCAAGAACCTCTCTTAAAGGTGTTTTTTTGTTGTTGTTGTTGTTTTTTGGGTTTTTTTTTTTTTTTTGCGGAACCGGGGATTGAACTCAGATCCTTGCGTTTGCCAGTCAAGCGCTTATCCTACTGAGCCATCTCCCCGGCCCGCCCTACTAAAGTAAATGACAGCGCTTGACCTTTATTATTTTCTTATAGGCCCTAACCCAAAAACAATCACAAGGGCTTGGGACTTCAACAAATGAGTTTTGGGAGGACACAAAGCCCCGACAGTGGCCAAAGGGATTTAGAAGTAGATATGTTTTTTTCCCATGGAATCTTGGGTAAAAACACAGTCAGTCTGTGACCAGGAGACTGGAGGAGATACAGAAAGGGAGACCTGTGGGAAGCCAAGAACAAGCTGGTGGCTTCCACTTGGCAGCACATGTACTCAGGAGATGGAACCTGATCCCAGCCCAAGATGACAAGCTTGGATTGCTCACTAGTCAATACATGCTTCTTGTACCCAACACCTCCTGTTTTGTTCAGCACTCTCCAACAACAGGACCCCTGGGACGTTCTTTAATACAGAAGAAAAGAGAGGGAAAGGAACCAAGAGTCTGGGTCGAACCAGGCAAGCATGTGTGGGAAAGCTGATCAGCTAAGAGCCTTTGAATATGGACCCACTAGGTTCCTCTGACCCTAAGGAGGAGCCCAGCTTTTGGGTGTCTCTCAGGTCTGGGCTGCTTTCTGTTTTTCATATAGCTCAATCGTTCTCAACTAGGGCAGTTTTGTCCCCTAATCCCCTAGGGCATATTTGTCAGTGTCTGGAGATATACTTTATAATGACAGCTGGGTGGGAGTGCTACAGGCATCCACTGAGTAAAAGTCAGGAATGTGGCTAAACGTTCTGCCACACACAGGATGGCACCTCCCAAATGATCCAGCCCAAAGTACCCATTCACCTCAACAAGGAGTTTTAGGTGAGTCAGGTACATTGTCTCAGAACAATGGCTAAGATCCATCTCTGGAGCTGCTGCTTGTGTTTGGTAGCTCATCACTTACTAACGTTTTGCTTTTGAGTGCATTATATTCCATGCCTCAGTTTCCTCTGTAGAGAAAACCTCATCAGGTTGCTGTGAGGATTCCATCAGATAATATGCATAAGGCTCTTATAATAATGTCTGGCAGGGTTAGGCAATAATGTCACTGTCATGATTTCCATGCCCAGGTTCCAGTGGTGGCTGTGCTGGGCTCTGGGGGTGGAACCCGAGCCATGACCTCCCTGTATGGCAGCCTGGCGGGGCTGCAGGACCTGGGCCTCCTGGATGTTGTGACCTATCTGAGCGGGGTCTCTGGGTCCACCTGGTAAGCGGGACAGGGTGTAGTGTGAAAGCCAAGGCTGAAGGGTGTGATTTGGAGGTCTGATGGAATCTTCAAGGCAGGGCTGGGTTAGGATGGGTGGGTGTGTGCAAGTGCATGTGATGGGGAGGGACCCCTCAGCCTCCTGCTCCCCTGGCTTCCTGGCTGTGCTCTCTGCCCCTAACCCAGATGCCCCTTCCACGCCCAGGTGCATCTCCACACTCTACAAGGATCCAGCCTGGTCCCACATGGCCTTGCAGGGCCCCATCGCATGGGCCCGGGCCCGGGTTTGCAGCACTAAGATGGGGGCAGTGTCCACGGAGCAGCTGCAATACTATGCTCAGGAGCTGGGGGCCCGGGAGAGGGACAGCAGTGGCCACAGCATGTCCCTCATTGACCTCTGGGGCCTCCTCATTGAGTATTTTCTGAACCAGGAGGTGAGAGATGAGCAGGAAGGAACATCCTCTCTACCCTTTCCACTGCCCCAGCTCCCATTTCTGCCTCACTCCTCGGGCTAAGGTAGGAGATTGCCCAGCTGCCTGGAGGGCTGGGCTCCTTGGGAGGAGAGATGCCGGGGTGGGCTGGCACCACTTCACCTTTTGGTTCTGGGGCCCGGAAAGGAGGAGCTGGCCCACAGTTCTCAGCTTTCTGCATAACAGAATCTCCTGCAGGCTTTTGTTTTTCTTCGCTTTTAAAAATTTGAATATATTTCCATACATGCTAAGTACATTCATCATGGGGAACTGGTACACGTACGTACTGCATCCCGATCCCCTTCCCTTCCTCTTCCTTTCCCCTTGCTGCCATCAAAAACACCCGAGCCTGTGCTCTCCTTCCAGAGACTGGTTGATGGCCTTTGGTCTCACTGGCCAGCACCACGCTGACTCATGACACCCGGTGGCTGCTTCTAGAAATGCAGGCCCAGCCTATCCTCAGTTACAAGGTTCAGAGCTGGGACCCCACTTGTACAGTGGCTCTCTGTTGTGAGTCACCAGTGACTTTCCACTTCTAAGTAAAGAAGCTATGTTGTCTTAGCTAAATTAGACCAGCTTTTCAAGGGGTCCTTTTTATATGTCTGCCTAACTTCTGTGCATTCTGATATGTTTTCTTGAATGGGAAAATGAGGGGAGGGTATCTCTGGAGACCTTGAAACTATAAAAACCCAGTGGCCAGGGGCCAGGGAGATGGCTCAGTAAAATAAGTGCTTCCCTGGCAAGCACAAGGGTCTGAGTTCAATCCCCAGTTCTGCAAAAAGAAAAAAAAAAAAAACCCTCAAAAAACAACAAACAAACAAAAAAACAGTGGCCATATTCTGCTGTAGTTTGTCCCTCAGAGAGCCATGCCAACAGCCCTGGCCTCCGCAGCTTCAGGTTTCACCATGTCCTCCAGGGTCTTGATTTAAGGTCACAGGGTTGGGGTAGGGATTTCCTAAAATTCTAAGCTACCCCCCTTCTCTCCTGCCCAGGAAAACCCTGCCAAACTATCTGACCAGCAGGAGGCAGTCAGCCAGGGCCAAAACCCTTACCCTATCTATGCTGGCATCAATGTCCGAACCAATATGAACGGCGAAGACTTTGCAGGTGCCTGGGGTGGAGACAGAAAGGATGCGGGAGGGATGGTTGCAGGGGGCTGGATGAGGTCAGAACCTCGGGCCCAGGTGGAGGTGGCCACAGATGGGGGCCTTGGAGCTCAGAGGGCTGCTACCTCCTTTCCTTGGCAAGGCAAGTTTCTGCTCTGGCAGGAGTGCCCTGGTGGGAAGCCTTTTGTGAGTTTGCCTTCATTCGGGTCCCCAGAATGGTGTGAATTCACGCCTCACGAGGTTGGCTTCCCCAAGTATGGAGCTTATGTTCCCACTGAGCTCTTCGGCTCTGAGTTCTTCATGGGGCGACTAGTGCAGCTCCGGCCTGAGCCCCGCATCTGCTACCTGCAAGGTGAGTGTAGGCCCGAAGGCAGGGACACGAGGTGCCAGAGCAAGGCCCTGATGTGGGGACTCTACCTGTCTGCCTAGGAATGTGGAGCAGTGCCTTTGCAGCCAGCCTGAACGAGATCTTCCTGAAGACTGCTGGCTCAGGCCTGGGCTTCCTGGACTGGCACAGAGGCAGTGTGAACATCACAGGTGAGGGCAGAGATCCCGACACCACACTCACTCGCCAGCGTTAGGGTCCTGGCAGAGGAAGGACAGGAGAAGACCGGTGAAGGACTTGGTTGTTCCATTGTACCCAGGCGAGTCCCAAGGAAACTCTCTAGCTCAGAGTCTCCAAATGCCAGGGACAGCAGAGGTCTGCATCCAAGTTCTCCACTGTGCTTCCGGTTAGATCACTCAGTCTCTGGTGTTTGCAACCTGCTCATAGCCACCCTTCAGCCTGGCCCTTGGCAGGCCTAGAGAGCCCAGCTGCACAGAGCACCCTTCCCACCTTTCTCTTCTGGTAACTTTCATTCTACTTAAGATTCAGCTCAGATATCTCTTGTTTCTGCTTTCCTCTCTAGACTGATTGGGGCTTAGTCACTGTGGTCCCTGAGGACTGAATGCCACCTGCATGTTGTTATGGTCTATTACCTCCTTAGATGACCACCTTCCCTTCCAAGTAGGCTGCGACCTCAGGGCTGGTGCAGGCCCCATCTGCCTCAAGTTGTATGTGTCATTGGTTGTTTGCAAAACGTTATAGATATTTTGAAAGGAGTTTGTGCTGAGTGCAGAGAAAACTATGTCGCCTGTAGCAATCTAAGAATTTTAACAATTCCTTAATATAATTAACTGCTACTGTAGTTCATTAAATTATAGTTTAGACCCTAATGCTGGCAAGTGAATGTGGTGTTGGGGTCTTTGCTCTCACCTGTGAAGTTCAGAACCCAACAAAATATCAAGTCTTTTGAGCAACTTCTGTTTGAAGAAACACTTCAGTTCTTTTTCTTTACCCCTTTTTTTCCAGAAGGAATTTTTTTGGGGGTCGGGTGTTGGCTCAGGATGCCTTAAGGGCAGGTCTGGTAAGGCAGGAGGATCAAACTACAGAATCCTGAGCCTGGCTCCACCCCTTTTTTTTTCATTTCTCTTTTTCTTTTTTCTTTTCTCTTTTTTCTTTCTTGGGTTTCTGAGACAAGGTCTTGTTATGTAGTCCAGGCCAGGCTTGCATTTGCTGCATTGCCCAGCTGGCCTGGAATATGTGATTTTCCAGCCTCAGCCTCCTGAGTGGTGGGATTACAGGTGTATACTAGCACTTCCAGCTCCTATATCTTGATAATAAAGAAAAAAAGGAGATTCTGTGAAGCAGTGGCTCAAGTCTGGGGAGGAGAAGGGGCAGGCAGAGTGCACAATGTGGGGAAGGGTGCTGCCATGAGCTGTAAGCGTCGCTGGACAAAGGAGGGCACCACTGCTCACTGTGTTTCACTCCCACCCTATCTAGAGTGCCCACGCTTCCAGCTACAGGACCCTTCTCGCCTGCGCACCAGGCTCTTCACCCCGCAGGGTCCCTTCTCCCAGGCGGTGCTGGACATATTCACCTCCCGCTTTACTTCCGCCCAGAACTTCAACTTCATGCAGGGCCTCTGCCTGCACAAGGACTATGCGGCCTGCAGGGACTTCATGGCCTGGAAAGGTGGGGACTGCCTGGGCTGTGGGGCAGTCTCTGCATGCCTGTGGGGGTGCTGCTGGTGCGGTGACTAGGAGACTCTGCCCCTGTGCTGGAAGGTGGGAGATCCCAGGCTGTCAGGGAAAGGGAGGGTGAGGTCTGCAGGAGAACGCAGGGGGGCGCAAAGTGAGCAGCTGCGCTGTTGCTCACCTTGCAGACACACACCCAGATGGCTTCCCCAACCAGCTCACACCCATGCGGGACTGCCTGTGCCTGGTGGATGGAGGCTTCGCCATCAACTCTCCCTTCCCTCTGGCCTTGCTGCCCCAGCGGTCGGTGGACCTCATTCTGTCTTTTGACTACTCCCTGGACGCCCCTTTTGAGGTACGGTGGGGTGGGCAGTGAGATCCTGAGCTGAAAGGAGGCCGGGAAAGGCAGCTCTGCGGAGGGCCAGGCCTAGTGTTTGGGGTCACCCTCCTGGTTGGCCTGGACTCTGCTCTGCTGCCAGTGCCTTCAGCTGCTGCTGCCCATCCAGGTCTCTGAGCTGGAAGAGAGTTTCTGGGGTGATGGGCAGGAGGAGGAACAAGAGGCCAAGAATCTTCCAGCTGCTCTTCCAAATCTGCCTTTTTTTTTTTTTTTTTGGTACCAAGGATTGCACTCAGGACCTTGTGCTTGTCACACAAGCGTTTATGCCACTGCATTGTCTCTCTGGCCCCAGATCTGTCCATTTGTAATGGGACTCCCCAACCTCATCTAGTCTTGCTATCCTTTGTTACTATGGTAACAATAGGGTCATGGGGCACCTTCAGGAAACTTCAGCAATGACTCCTTCCAACTGTTGGGCAGTGACCAGTGCTATTCCAGATGTGGGTTCTGGTTGGAGCAGCCTTTCCTGTGTTCTGCTGGCCCTCCTGGGTCCAGTGAGTGCCTGGGGTTGGAGGGCTGATGAAGTCTCGTTTAGCACTGACCTTGCAACCATTGTGCCAACTTCATGAAATTGCAGTTAGCCCCCAACAGGGAGCAGAGAGGGATCAGGGAAGGGTAGACTGTGCCAGGGGAGGGGCAGCAATGCCAGTGGCACTGGGGCATTGATTATTGGCCATTCCTGGTTATGGAAATCTCCTGTGTTCCATTTGACCGTTATTCTTGTTTATGTTTGATGAACTAAATGTGGCCAGGAAGGGCAATGTCACCTGTCAACAGTCATCTGGCTATGCAGAGGCAGAGCTGGCATGAGGCCAGGCTATGAGAATCCAGGGTGGGGCAGGCAGAGCCAGCAGCTTTCATCCCTGCCCAGGTCTTACAGATGACAGAAAAGTACTGCCTGGACCGGGGAATCCCTTTCCCCAAGATCGAGGTTGGCCCTGAGGACATGGCGGAGCCTGGAGAGTGCTACCTATTTGCGGAGGCCGAGGCCCCTCAAGCACCCATCGTGCTACACTTCCCCCTTGTCAACCGCACCTTCCGCACACACCTGGCCCCAGGTGAGGGAAGCCCCGGCCTGGGTCTGACCTACAGAGCTGGGCTGGGAGTGCTGGGATGCTCTTCCAGGCATGGACCCCTAGACAGTGTGTCAGAGTATGCCTCCTGGGGGTTGCTGAGCTGAATGTTACCAGCCATCCCCCACTTGTAGGCCCTTGTTGTGCACAGGGGTCATCTCCAAATGGGCCTGAGATGTGGGAGGGGCTTAGGGCTGTCAGCTCCAGGGAAGTTCCACAGAGCGCTCCAGCCTTCCCCTGTCTCCAGGTGTGGAGCGGCAAACAACTGCGGAGAAGGCCTTCGGGGACTTTGCCATCAATGGGCCAGACACCCCCTATGGCATGATGAACTTCACTTATGAGCTCAGACAGTTTGACCGGCTGGTGGCCCTGAGCCGCTACACTGTTCTGAACAATGCGGAGACTGTGAGACATGCCCTCCAGCTGGCTCTGCAGCAGCGGCAGCAGCACACTGGGACCTTGGCCAGGGCCTGACCAGGGAGTCAGGACTACAGGACAGAGAGATGCAGGCCTCAAAGCCAGCAGCTGCCAAGCAAGCAAGAAGTGGGTGGACCCTTCTGCTTCTCGCCTCTCCAGCACCTGCTCTGAGGTCCTCCAGGCCTGAAAGTCTTGCAGACCTGCAGCTCGGCTTTGGGCCAGGGCCTCCTCTTGTGTTTCTTGAAGAAGATGGGGCAGAACATCCCTCTGGCACTCTAGGGATGCAGGGCCAAGGCAGGCAGCATCACCATGAGGCTCACGTGAACCCAGAAGGCCCTCGGAGGGTGCAGGTGCCCAGAGCCTTACAGAGGTGTGATGTGCCCTCTCTTGGTGACCACTGCACATGCATCTGCTGTGATATCTTTAGTGGCCCCTGGACTCTCCCCCCTCCCCCGTGGGTTTGGTGCTGTCCAGAATAAAGAGGTGCCACATGACTCACCAGCCTGTGTCAGTGACTCCATGTCCAGCTCTGATTCTCCAACTTCTAGTATCTTGTCCCTCCTCCATGCCCAACACCCTTCCCTGCTCAGCCTTCTGATACCTGTGGTGTGACAGCCTGTCCTGGCCAGGCCCCAGCCAGGATTGCACAATGCTGTGCTCTCTACACCTGGGACCACATTCTGTGGTCTCCACTGTAGCTGCCACCTCATGAAAGCACAGTGCCACCACTTCCAGGAGTGAATTCCCAGGCCATGTTTGGAGGGGGCACCTATTTTCCATTGGCAGAGGGAGTGAACACTGCCTGTTGATAACAAACATGTTCCTGCCTCTTCAAACAGAGCTGGTACCCTTTCACATCTCTCTCTCTCTCTCTCTCTCTCTCTCTCTCTCTCTCTCTCCCCCCCCCCTTTCTCTCTCTCTCTCTCCTGCTGTCCCATAATTCCTGAACTATTTGGGGATCTTCCAAATACTGAAAGCCTCCCTAGTGTGGTAAGATTTCAAGCCTAAGAAGAGAAGATCTGTCCTGGGCAGGCCTCTGCAGCCCTCTCCTCCTCACCCTGTCCTCCCCTGTGCTGAGGCCCTAAGGCCCTGCAGTGGCTGGGCTGCCTATTCAACTGGCCGTTAGCCCTTCTGCCCCTGTAGACACAAGCATACTCTCCAGGACCAGAGAAGAGGTACAGCTCCTCTCCACCAGGAAAACTTCCTTGGCCTAATTTGGAGAAGAAGAGTCGTGTGGTGGAGGAGAGCTAGGAGGCAGGGGACGAGCTGGGTGAGGGAACGGATACAGTCCCCAAGAGCATGCTGTCATGACCCACTTTCCAGTAGGCCCCACCACCTAATGGGTTAACCTATTGATGAGGTTAGTGCCCTCAAACTCCAATCACTTAATCACTTCTCCAGGAGTCTCCTAATTTAGACCAGGTGGCAGTTGAGATTAACTGGCATAGCTGGGGTGTGGTCACACACCTGTAGTCCCAGCATACTAGGAGGCTTAGGCAGGAGGATTGCAAGTTCAAGTCCCATCTGGGCAATTTATTGCCTCAACAAGACCCTGCTTCAAAATAAAAAATGGCTTGGGATGTAACTCAGTGCCCTGGATTTAATTCTCAGTTTCTAAAAAACAAGAATTAATAAATAAAACAAGCAGAGCTCTAGTTCTGGCTCCTAGCTGGAGGAGAGCAGTCAGGGCCCTGGCCATGTCCCCTGGTCGTGTCCCCTGCCCAGCCTGGCCCGGAACCCACAACCCTCTGGCTGACATGGCGGTGAGGGCAGAGCCAGCACTCTTCGCTGGCATGGGGCACAGCACCCTGGCTCCCTTCCCCGCCTCCTCTGCACTGCTGCCTGTCTGCCTCTCCACTCAGCAGCGTAGGTTTCCTTGGGAGCTCCTGCTTCGGCCCTTGTCACCATTGCTGTCCCAGCATCATCACTGGTGCTCGTGGAGTTGAAAGCTCATGGTTTAGAACCTTGAGTCTGTCTCTAATGTCCCCTTCTGTGGCACCAGGCTGTGTCTGGTTTTCCTAGAGTAGGCAACAGCAGCTTTTGTCTGTTTGGGCAGGGGTGGAAGGGAGGTTTGTGGTTGATTTTGAGACGGGCTTTGGCTGATGTGCTGGGTTTACAAGTCCTCTTGGTCTCCATCATGACTCAAGGATGGGCCTCACTGGGCTGCACAGTGGATCCGCCTGGGGAGCTGGCTCTGCTGATCCACAGTGGGGTACATCCCCTCCTCACCCCCACCATGTGGCCTCTACTCTAGGCCTGGGCTGAGAGGCTGCTGCAGTCAGGCCTGGGCAGCCCTTGGCCTGTCCGTCATCTGGGTCTGGCTGGTACCTGAAGCCTCCTCTGCTTTTCCTGTCATCTGCTGGCATCTCAGATCCTCTGTCTCCTCATATTCTGGCTCCTCTCTGGCTCCCTAAATTCTGCTGGAATTGTTCAGGTGTCACTCCAGGCCTCTAAGAGCCTGTGAAATCTGCACCTCACTTTTCCTGTATGGCCATCATTTGCTTCCAAACTAATCATCCTTTGCGGGAATTTCAAAGTACGTCTGAGTCTTGAGATCGCCTGTCTTCTGTTTGCTGTGCTTCTGCTCCCCTGCCCCCTTCCTGCTTTCTGGTTGTATTAGTCTGATTGTATTAGTGTGATTGTATCAGTCTGATTGTATTAGTCTGTTTTTCATGTTATGAGGCAACCCAGGAAGCAGGCTGCTTTATGAAGGAAAGAAGTTTATTTTGGCTCATGATTCAGGAGCTACGAGGGCCTTCTGGCCCCTCCACCAGGTGACGGCGTCTCGCTGACGGGGTGCAGAGCACCACAGATCAGGATGCAGCGATACACGTATATGAGTACATGTCTTCCTGGCCTGTCCTTACAAGACCACTAGGATTCCATCTTGGGGTGCCCCAGGGGCGGGGCCGGCCCGGCACACTAGGCTCCAACCTCAGTCACTGCTCCTGCCTAAGCAGGTGCTTTAGTCCACTGAGCTATCTGACTAGCCCTAACTTTTTTTTTTTTAAGTACTTGGGATTGAACACAGGGCCTTCTTAACAAACTACCTTATCAGACTTTCATTTTCTATTTTTTATTATTTATTTATTTCATTTGTTTTTTGAGATAGGTCTTGTGATGTAGTTTAAGATGGCTTTGAACTCCCTATGTAGCCCAGGCTGTTCTCAAACTCACAACAATCCTCCTGCCTCAGTTTCCCAAGTGCTGGGATTATGATTTGGAAGGACATGCTCTACCATGCCTGGCTATTTATTATTTAGAAACAATCTATTTATTATTTTGAAACAGGGTCTCACAAAGTCACTACATTGCCCAAGTTGGGCTCAAACGTGCAATCTTCCTGCCTCAGCCACCCAAAATTGAAAAAAAGAATTAACTAGTGCTATTATAGACCATGCTGAGCACACTGGGCAGCAGGCCAGGGGCCTCAGCTCTGGTGGTTACTTTACACGGTACTAATTTATTACCTAGTGCTAATGCCCCCTGGCTGGCCCTAAATGACCTGGTCCTCATCACACTCCCTCCCTGGTGGGTATGTTCAGAGCAGCCTGGCTCAGGCTGGGCATTGATCATTCCACACTGCCAGGGCAAGGGTGGCTGGTGGTGTGGCCAGAGTGACCATTCTTCAGGTGTCAGCCCCTCCCTCAACGGGACATCTACCTTCTGGCAGAAAACGCCCAGGCAGCCGCACCTCCTGCGTACACTGGCCTCATGTCCCTGCCATAGGCCCAGGCCTGGGATGTCATTTATGAGCTGGGTCAGAGCTTCCTGCTGGTGCTGACTGGCCTAGAAGAGATGGGGGACAAGGGCCACTATAGGAGCCACATGCAGGGAGCCGTCCCACATCTCATAGGTTCCTGCCTCACTGTTGGAAGACGCAAGGTCAGAGTCCAATGTGATACTTGCTGCCACCACCAGGGGGCAGGTGTCTTTGTCAAAACCTGGGCACGGGCTGGAGCAGCAGCAGGGCAGATGGACTAGCAGAGAGCTTTGCCTCAGGCAAGGTGTCCCTGGCACAGCTGCTGCACCCCGTGCTCCTGAGTGGGACACTGGGCACTCCTCAGTCATTCAGGTGCTGAGAGACCTCTCCCCCTTCTCCCCCAGCTGCCTGCAGACACACAGGCCACACAGTGGATTGGAGTGCTATCCTATGACAGGAGCTGGGCAGGACAGGTCCATCTGGATACCCTCAGTCATAGTATTCTTGGTGTTAAGGGACCAGCAGCGAGGTGGTTGCAGGTCTCACATAAAGCCCAACTGAGTCTAATTCGTCAACTTGCAAGAGGCACCTCAGACACACTCTGCAGGCTTTGCATGCGGGAGGAGTGGCTACTGGCCTTGTCCTCCCATATAACCCCTGCTGAGCCATGCCTTCCTCTGAGCCAGAGCTGCTGGAGGCCTGGGCATACTGGTACATGCCTACAATTCCAACTCTGGGATGCTGAGGCAGGAAGATTGTAAGTTTGAGGCCAGCTTGGCCAGTTTAGCAACTTAACGCAATCCTATCCCAAAATGAAAAGTAAAAAAGAGAGCTGGTGCAGGAGGCTGTTTCTCAGGACTCACTAGTGCCCCATATGCTGGCTGAGGAGGGAACATACTGTCCGGTTGCTCTTGGCTGTTCCCAGACTGTGCCCGGCTCCTGCAGCTTAGCTCCCGGAACATAGCCTGAGCTGTGTCTAGACTAGTGCTTCTAACCTGGCTCTCAGAAGCAAACTAAGGGGCCATCTGATCCCTGGAAATTGTGAGTGTGAGAGGTAATTTGGGGCCCAGATCAGAGATCCTCGAGGGACAAGAGAGTTGCCACCATGCCTGTGTCAGCCTGCGGTGCAGATGTTCCCAACTGCTCAGAAGACCTTGCCTGTTAGAGGGCAGAAGTGCACTGCTTGGGCTGCAGGATCCCAAGGCTGCAGGAAGTGTGGATGAATAAGGGAGCAGCTGGGCCGCTGCTTGGAAGTTCTAGAACCTGGTTTCAGGGAAGAAGATGCTGCCCTGGGGTGCAGGGATCCCTACTCTCTCTGTAGCCAATGGCTTCCTCTGAACTCTCCTCCCAAAGTCGCTTTGTTACCACGTGGCCCTAGTCAGCAGGAGCAGTGGGGATGAGGCCAGGGCTGGGCTGCATCAGGGAGGCTAATGGCATGGGTGCTGCACAATGCAGTTGAAGTTGGGTTGCATGTGGCTGGTGAGTCAAAGCCTTATGTGCTCTTGACTGGGAGACAGACAAAGGAAGAGATGGAGTCAAAGAGAATGCAGACAGGAAGTCCTAGAAAGGCAGCCAGTCCTTGACATTGGGAATGGACAGAACATGTAGCTCTGTGACTTAGCAGGTAGGAACCATCTGAGACTAAGAGTGGGGTGGTGGCAAGTATAAAGCTGTGGTGGCCAGGAAGTCTGTGTGCCTTGCCCAATCCATGTGCTGCCTCTTGGGTCCCAGTGCCCCTTCCATACCTCTTCCCTGTGAGAAACAGTCCTTTATGTTT